GACGAGCACAAGCACTGTTCGGGCTTAAACAAAACTAGAGCGACGAGAGTGCACGCGCTTTTGGCCGCTGCAGGCGCGTGCCGTCCCTCACACGCTCAAATCAGGCCTCGGCTGAGGCCCGGCTGTGCCGCCAGGCTGGCGGCTCCTCGGCCCGAACCGCTATGCGGTCAAGGCCGAAAAAGTGAAAAGGACCTACGATGGGCCAGGGAGGGCCTGGGAGGGAAGGGCCCGAGAAGGAACTTGAGCCCCAGAGGGGCCGCGGAGAGGGGGAAAGGGAAGCAGGCAAGAGAGACCCTTCCCCCTCACCAGGCACTACTCCCTGAAACCCTACGTTTTACGCACGCTCAAACTCTCACGTTTAAGTGAGAAAGTGCCTGGTAGAACCAAACAGTGGACGCCCGACCCGCGACGAGCACAAGCACTGTTCGGGCTTAAACAAAACTAGAGCGACGAGAGTGCACGCGCTTTTGGCCGCTGCAGGCGCGTGCCGTCCCTCACACGCTCAAATCAGGCCTCGGCTGAGGCCCGGCTGTGCCGCCAGGCTGGCGGCTCCTCGGCCACCCAGCTCCCACGCCCCCTCGGCGCCCGTGACTTGCGGGTGGTGCCGAACAGGGCTCACAGCTGGGCACCTCGTTGCCCAGCGCGTGCAGGCGTCGGCGGAGCACCCGCCGACTTCCTCCACCTCTCCTCGGGGACCGCGCTGGCGGGACGCCCCGGCCACCTCCGCCTCTCCTCGGGGACCGCACTGGCGGGACGCCCCGGCCCTCAGCCTCCTCACCTCCGCCCGCCCCTTCGGCACCCGTGACTTGCGGGTGGTGCCGACTGGGGCTGGCAGCCCTCCTCCACCTCCCTTTCGTACGTCGATCCAGCGGGTCGCCACTGCCCCCAGGCCGCTACCCCAGGACTGCGCACAATCCAGCCACGGCTCCTCCAGTGTTGACCCGCCTTAGCTCTAAGCTCGGACTCCTGCGACTGTCTTCAGGCTCCCGGCTCCTCCTTCGCACCCGCATCCGGTCCGCCTCCCGACACGCCCGCCTTATATCCCACGTGCAGGGTCGCAACCGACTTCGCCATCGCCTCCGACACTCCGGAGGCGTCCTCATTTGCCTCCCACAGATACTGGTGAAAAGCTCCACTGTTCCACCGTCCCCATCGCTTGACCAGCTCCGTGTCCTGAAAGCAATGGTACAAGGCCGTCGCTCCCCCAATACGGAGCGAATGACTCTTGAACCTGTCAGGCGGGTAGCCCTCCAACGCTGCTGCCTTCTGAAATACTCCCTGAATGCGCTCCCGCGTGATCGGGCTACCGTCTTCCCACCTCGCTAGAGGTAGATGTGCCTCTTTGCCCACGATACGGCTCGGGAACCAGTGGTTGTAGCACTCCGCCGCCCACACCGGGCAGATGCCGTGCGGGTCGTTCGACCGGAAGTGGTTCCTCGCCTGCCCTGCTCCCTTCTGGTCCGCCTTCGAAGCCTTGAACCACAGCACCACCTCGTCCGCGGCGGAGAAGTGACTCACCTGCTCGCCTTTGCACTTCGGGGAAATATCCAGCCCGGTCAAGACCTTCTTCAAATCCCAATGCCCCGAGTGAGCATACTCGCCGATCCGCATCATGAAGAAGAAGGCGAAGATCACGCAGAAGTACAAGGCGGCGTCGTCCGCACACAGGTCCGGCTTCAGCATATCTCGTATCCTCCTCAGCATCTTGGTCGTCACCGGGAGCTTCCTCTTCCCAGGACCTTGCCAATTCTCTATCCCATTCAACGCCATCCACAGTCGCGGCTTACCCGCCAAGGGGTCGGGCTCACCCAGCATCACATGATGTGAGCGGATCCCCAGCAACTTCGACCGTATCGTGCCGTGCGACCGCTTCAGGCTGTTGTACAGGTGCACCATGAACAGCAGCAGCTCCTCCTCATCCTGGTGACGCTCCTCGCGAGTCTCCCCATGCAGGATGGGCGATTTCCTGCGGATGCGACAGAACGTCGTCCACTGCCTCCAGGCAACCCCATAGGTCGCCTTCGTCCCCTTGGCCACCGAGGCCACCACTGCAGCATCCACCAACTTCAGGAGCTCTGGCGCGTACCCCTCATCCGCGCGCCCGCCGGCACGCCTGGAGTCCTCCCTGGCGATCTGCCTCAGCTGACGCTCGAGCCCTTCACTGCCCTGTCCGCTGCCTGCTGCCGCTTCCAGGTACCGGCTCACCGCCTCCGGGTCGATATCTTCGGACGGTCCAGCCTCTGGTGCCGCACGCCGTGCCACCTCCTCACGCTCGCACTCCTCTCCTCCCCCGCGCCCCGGGGGGGCCGCGACGGCACGCCCCGCCTCGGCTGCCCTCTGCCTTGCCGACAGCCGGTCATTGGCCATCGAGATGGGGTAGGTCTTGTTGCACATCGGGCAGCGCGTGTCCCGGCCCTCACCCTGCACACCGCAATACTCGCACCACGCATAGTGGGCGTCGGGGCCGCCTCCTGGGAAAGGCACTGGCCGACGTGCTTCAACCTCCTCCTCTGATTCCTCGTAGTCCCCCTCCGAGTAGGACTCGGGCGAGTTGAGGTCCCTTACAGCCTCGGCAGCACGTGCAGGTCCACCAGGCCTGAGCGGGTCCTCCTCCGCTCGGTGGCCCGGGGGCTGTGGCCGCCCCTCCGACCCACCGGGCCCTCTCGACCCCCCGGGAGGGGGTACCCAACTTCCTGGTTGGGGCAGCGGCTCGCGGTCGGTCCGCCTTCCTGGCTGCGGGAGTGGCTCTCGACCCGGCCGAGGGTGGACCGCTGATGCCTCCGCCCCGGAGCCACTCACCCGGGGGCGGTCCTCCTCCTCTGGAGCGGACCAGAGCCCTGTCCTCTGGAACTCCACCCGCCGAGCGAGCGCACGGTAACTCTGACCAACCGCCCGCGCGACCTCTGCCGGGGGCTCCTCCTCGGACCTCTCCTCCTGCTTGACAGCTGCCGGTGCGGGCGGGGTCTTCGCCCTTACGTGGATGTACTCCGCCTGCCCTGCACCAGGGTGCCCGGCCGCATCCTTGGGCCGATCTGCCTCCGCCTTACTCTGCCGGGCAGCGCCTCGCCCCTCATGCGCCCGCCGGGCGAGCTCCCCTGGTGATGGGGGGGGGCACTCCTCGCTTGGACCTCTGCTGCCGCTCTCCTCACCCTGCTCCTCCGCGGCCTGTGACTCAGATCCCGCAGGGGGGGCGGCCAGCGCAGCGGCGGCTAGCACCCGGGCAGCAGCCGCTGCAATCTCTTGCTTGCGCTCCTGCTTGCGCTTCTTTCCTACGGCTGCGGTCTCTGACGGCCCCTCCCCTTCCGGGGTCGGCTGACCGTGGGGCATCTTCTCGCAATGCCTGAAGTGCTTCGCGCCTCCTTCTGCCCAGCCCGCCCCCTCCGACCGCCCCGCGCACTTGTTGCAGCAGAAACCTGGTCGCCACAGCGCTCCCCCATCGACAGCAGTCGCGGGTTGGGAGTGCTCCAAGTACGGGCACCCTGGGTAACGGCACGGCCGCAGGGCTTCCCTCGCCTCTGGGGGGGGGGGGCCTGATCCGCTCCACTGGCGCCCTCTCCCACCCCTTCAGCAGCGGCGCGTCGCCCGGTGGCCGTCCAGGGACCCCAGCTCTCATCCTCAGAACCCCCCGCATGGCGGCTCCTGGCGGCCAACGGGTCTCCTCCAGCACCCAGGAGCTGGCCCTGCGCCTCTCTGGCGGACGAGTCCTCGGGCTGCAGGCCCTCCCCGGCCGTCCTGGGCGGTGCCTTCGCCACCACCGGCCGAGGTTCCTCCCAGATGGGTGGGAGATGGCCGCCCGGCGCCGCTTTGGGTGGCGGGTGCCCCGAAGCCTCCTCGCCTGCTGCCTGGGCTCCAAGGCCGCCGCTGCCACCCGCCTCCTCGCTCGATGGGGGGCAGTAGCCAGCCTCCCTCTGCCTCTTCTGGAGGTCCTCGCGTCGTGCCTGACAGCACGGCCCATGGGCGTCGCCCTCCGTGTCCCGGCACGTCCGACAGCAGTACCAGCCCCAGTCGTGCTCCAAGCGTGCGCAGCTCCTCCCACACTTGTTCCAGCACTGCGGCCCTCCATCTGGGTCGCGTCCCGCACGCAGTGAGATCACATCGGGGTAGGGGTCGTCGAGCAAGCTCTGCGCTCTCTCCTCTGGCCTCATGCCACCGTGCCGCTCACTCCTCCTTGCGGTCTCCTGCCGACGCCTCTCGTCGGCTTGGAGCCAGCTCGTGAGCTCCCGTCGCCTCTCCTCGTCCTCTGGGCGGCGGCATATACCCGCCGTCCTTCCTCCTGACTCGGTGGATACCTCCGCTTGCCTGAGGGCTGCCGTTAACGCAGCCGCGGCTGCCCGCGGGGGGCACGCTCGCACGACCCCCCTCAGTAGGTCCCCACGGCTTAGCTGCCCACAGAGCCTGGGCCAGTCAGCGCTGGACCCTCCACGCAAGTGCCAGACCTCCTGCGCTTGGAGCGGTCGAACCCCGGGCGGGGGCCCCTTCGCATCGTAGACCAGCACGGACTCCAGCACCCCGCTCTCCTCCACCCGAGGGGTCGGCGAAGGACCGGAGCCGCCGTGCACGGGGCGCCTGCCGACCTGCCCCCGCGGATGCCAATGGCCAACGATCCGCGGGAGATGAGGGGGCGACCGCGCCGCCCGCGGGTCCACCACCAACCGCCCCTCCTCAGGCGCCAGCCCCTCCTCCTCCTCGACTCGGCGAGCGTTCATCATCCCTCCGGCCATTGGCAAGGGCGGCGGGGGCTTGGCTTCTTGGCCCCCCAACCAGCCCGCTGGCACTGGCACTCCGCCCTTCGACGCCAATGCCCAAACCTTCCGCTGGGCCACCGGGTCGCCGTACTCGCTGCGCACACGCCCGTCTTCGGCAGCACTCCAGCCAACGCCCCGGAAGAACTTCAGCACATCCGCCACGGTGGGGCCAGGAGGAGCATCCACCAAGGCCCACTGGGCAGCCAAGCGGTGCAGCTCCTGGGCGAGATCCTGTAGCTGCAGGCCCACCCGCGA